GGAGCAGCGGTCCCGGGGCCGCACTGCCCTTGTGAGGCATCCTCCATCCCCACCACCACCCCCAACCGTGCCTTCACCCGGTGCTAGGCCTGAAGTTCCCTCCCTGAAGGGCGATGCTGCCTTCTCTGAAGGGAGAGGGCGGGCAGAGCACCTCCTGTTCCTCCCAGTGTGGCCCAAACCACAGGAGGTGGAATCAGAGAATCATAGAATTACTCAAGTTGGAAGGGACCTTTCATATCATGGAGTCCAACCATCAACCCAACACTGACAAACCCACCACTGACCCATGTCCCTCAGCACCGCGTCCGCCCGGCTTTTAGATGCCCCCAGCGACTCCATCGCTTCCCTGGGCAGCCTGTTCCAATGCTTGACAACCCTTTTGGTGAAGAAATTTTTCCCAATATCCATCCTAAACCTCCCCTTGTTACTGCAAACCAGCAGATAAAACGTTCTAAGACTCAAAAGTTCAGACAGCGGGCGTTCCTTACTGCGGCACCGGGTGCACAGGGGATCGCTCCTCCTATTGCGCACACCTGATACTGATGTCAAATTAAATTTATACACAGCAGGTATACATATTCAATGTGATTCCAACATTAGCATTTTCATTCCATTTCTGAGAATCATTTACATATTATAATAAGCCTGTGGGCATGCGTAGTTGTGCCCTGGTGGTCCTCATCCTGAGTGAGGGTCATTTCTTCCTCAATCTTCATCTTCTTCACCTGTCCTTTGGCTCACTTTTCATGTTGGCAAAACATTCAAACTGCTTAATTGCTCATTAAAACTAATGATCTCCCTGCTACCACCTTTTTGTCGCCCAATGTCCGTATTTACCACATCCCTGTCTTGGGTCACCACGTTCTCAGGGCCATACACATCCTTTCTTATCTTATTAAGTCCTTGAAACCATTTGGGATGGTTACTAAAATATCTCCATTTCTTCTCTAAAAGAAGATACTCTACAGTTCAACCATTTATAAGCTACATAAAATCTGCCTTAGGTGTCACCCTGGCACAACTTGAGGCCGTTTCCTCTTGTCCCATGGCCTGTTTCTTGGGAGAAGAGACCGACCCCCCCTGCCTACACCCTCCTTTCAGGGAGTTGGAGAGAGCGAGAAGGTCTCCCCTCAGCCTCCTTTTCTCCAGGCTGAACACCCCCAGCTCCCTCAGCCTCTCCTCACCAGACTTGTGCTCCAGACCCCTCACCAGCTCCATTGCCCTTCTCTGGAGACCTGCTCCAGCCCCTCAGTGTTTTTTTTGTCATGAGGGGCCCAAAACTGGACCCAGCACTCGAGGTGGGGCCTCACCAGTGCCCAGTGCAGGGAGATGGGCAATGCCCCAGTCCTGCTGGCCACGCTGTTCCTGACACAGCCCAAGGATGTTGTTGGCCACCTGGGCACACTGCTGGCTCGTATTCAGCCAGCCATCGACCAACACCCTCAGGTCCTTTTCCCAGGGCAGCTCCAGCCACTCTGCCCCAACCTGGAGTGTCCATGGGGTTGGTGTGACCCAAGTGCAGGACCGCGCTTGGGGCCGTGTTGAACCTCACACCATTGGCCTCGCCCCATCCATCCAGCCTGTCCAGATCCCTCTGTAGAGCCTTCCTGCCCTGAAGGAGATCCACACTCCCGCCCAACTTGGTGGTGTCTGTGAACTTACTGAGGGTGCGCTCCATCCCCTCCTCCAGATCATTGCTATAGATGTGTCCATCCCATAGGTACCCCCTTGGCCACTGGTTCCTCAGGGCTCACAGGGATCCCCTGGGGGTAAAGCACCTGGGAGAGCACAAGTAAAGCTCCCAGTGTCACTGAGGGGCACCCCTCCTGCCAAGAGACCCCTCCTTTAGCCAGGAAGGGCCCTGCTGAGGAAAAAAAAAAAAAAATTATCTCATTTTGCTGGACATGGAGGTGCTCTGGACTCTTGGCCATGCGGACACGGTGCCCACCTGGGTGCCCTCCCCTCGCTGCTCCCCCCTTGTCCCCCGAGATCCCAAGCGGACACATCAAACCGTTCCCGCTCGGCAATGGCCTTTGCTAATGACTGGTTTATTAGAGCGGGGGAGGAGGCGGTGGCACGCGCGGGCAGGGAGCAGGCAGCCCCCGCCGGCCACGGGGGCTAGTTCTTGCCACAGGGGAAACTGGTGCCGATTTTCCGGCAGTAGCAGAAAGCGTTGAAGAAGCGGCAGTAGCAGGTGGCACAGGGGTCGCAGCAGGGGACCTGGTGGCCCAGGCAGGACTCCAGGAGGCGGACGCAGCGGCGGGGGGAACGCTCTTCTCGGCCTGCAGCCTGCACTTCTGTGGACGATGCCTGCCGGAGAGAGGAGGAGGAGGGACAGGGTGGGTGGTGGACCACCGTCCCAGCAATAAAACTGCGTGGGAGAGAGCCAGGAGTGGCTACGGAAGGCAACCTGCTGCTGCCACCATCGGTGGAGAGCCCTGTCGTGCTCAGCTCCGGGCTTGGGCTGTTGAAGATCACCACCGATGCTCTCTGTGGGCATCACCACCCCCTTCCACAGAGAATCATAGAATCATCCAGGTTGGAAAAGACCCTTGGGATCATCGAGTCCAACCATCAAAGGCCTCCGCATGTCTCAAGGCCTTTATGCACAACTTTGTGGTGAAGCCCAGCCTCAGCTTTAGTGAAGGGGTGACCGAATGGAGGCACTGGCGGCTGAGCCGGGCAAGACTGCCCGGTGAGCTCCTGCTCTGCAGAGGCTTCCTGAACTGCTTAATTAACTGCTTAATTAAACGGATCGCAAGAGTTAAGGGCTTGGACCACCCTTCTTGAGCACCGGAGCCCCTTGCAGTTCTGAGCAGCCTCAGCCTGTCCCAGCCTTGGCTGCTTCTCAGCAGGGGACAAGTGGATACCCCCTTCTCCAGAAAGTGCCACGCTGGGCTCCAAACCACCCCTGGCTGTGGGGACATGGAGACGGCTGCTGTGGCCCGAGGCCACCCTGCTCTTTGGGGTGTGTGTAGGACAGCTCGGGGAGCATTACCTGGGGTTCCAGCATGCTGCCACCTCTCTGCATGAGGTCACCATCAGATTCTTGGACCTCCAGGGCCATCTGCTCAAAGCCCAGCCTGGGTAGAGCTCCTGGGAGACACAACAAGGTTGCTGATGGTCCCCATGGTCATGTGTGTCCCCGCCAAAAAAGCCCCCCACTCCCCGTGGGCTGCCAAGCTTCTCTCCCCAGCCAGTGAGAGGAGAAGCTGTGCTGCTTTAAGGGGATCCCCTGTATCTCATCTCGGGTGTAAGGGTCCCCATTTCTGCACTGGGGCCCTGGGCATGCCACTGGGTGGCAGTGGGAGGACATGGGGAGCCACAGAACTCACCGGCTGGTTCAGCAGACACCTCCTTGACTTTCCGGAGCAGGCTGGAGTAACGGGCTCTGTCCGTCCCCTCCAGCCCAACACTCCCCTTCTGCAGGTGGCCACGGCCAAGGTCGGTGGCGAGGATGGCCTGGATGCCCTGCAGCAGCCCGCAGCACAGCAGCAGCACGTTCAGCATGGTCCTGGGGGACAACCTGCGCAGAGGAGGCCCGATGACCCCACTGGCCACCTGGGCTGGTCCCCACCTCCGTCCCACCACCATCACCTCCTGAGCAGCACCTCGGCGAGGGACAACCTTGGCCAGCACAGCCACTGCTGCTCTGGACATAAGACTCTTTCTTGGACCACCACATGCCTGGGAGCTTCATGTGGACCCTCCAGAGCTAACACTGGTAGCCATGGGGCACCCCACCTGCGGGCACATTCCTCATCTCACCACGGAGAGGACCGAGCAGCAGAGGGTGGACTGAGAGTTGATCCTGCTTTTGGGTTGACCTGTTGATCAACCAAACAGTTGATCCATTCAGGGTCTCCCTGCCCCACATACAGCCCCCAGACCACGGTGGGGCCGTGCACCCACCCCTTGCAAGCGCGTGAGATGTGACCGAAACACCCTACACGGCTCCTGCCGGGGACTCACCCTCACAGAGTCTGGAAACGCCACCAGTTTTAAAGACCAGAAGCTCATATTTACCACCTGGGCTTGGATGTGCAACCAGGACCTTGCAGAAAACAGGGTGGTGGAAACAGGAGAATCTGGAGCAGAAATCTCCCCGAAAAGTCCCTGGGAAGTGACAAACTGCTTTGCTACAACCCCAGGGTTTGGGCATGATAAACAAACGTGGGGCCTTGAGGAGATAAGTGTGTCCTGCAGAGGCTGGTGGAGAGAGCAGGCACGGATGGGGTTTTGCTCAAGGACTGCAGCGATGGGCTGGGTGTCACCACCTCGCGGGGGGCTCCAGCGCCTCCGTGCCACCCAGACACCTGAAAAACCCACTGACGCTCGGCTGCAGGGCTTCTTTGGGATGCAGAGACCCCTCTGCCTGGGACACGGGCACCGTCGTCAGGAGATGTCCCCCCCAGTTGGACCAGCATGGGGTTTTCACCTGCCCCCAGTGCAGAGTTTGCTCCCTCATCCCTGCTCACAAGGGGATGGTGAAGGTTGAGGAGGGAGCAAGGTGGAGCTGAAGAATGCTGAGAGAAGAGGGTGAGGCTCGGTGGGGAGGAAGACCACCCTGGGAAGGACTGAGTGAGCTGGGGAGACTGGATGCAGGGTCAGGGAACCTCGAAGGGAGTTGGGAAGGGGGACCCCCAGTCGCTGCCGGCAGCCAAGTCCCCTGAAACCTTTGGAGCTCCATCCCCGGCTCTGGCAGAGCTCTGCCAACCGCTCCTCACCTCCCCATCCCTGCAAAACCACCCAGCTCTGCCAGGAGAGACCTCTTTGTGCCATGGGGAGCCCCGCGGCCATGGGTGTCGCACCCCAAACACCCCCCCAAGACCCTTCCCGTGGTGAGCACTGACCTCTCCGAGCGGGGAGAGGGCTTTGCCGCTCGCTGCTCCGCCGAGCTCCCCGGGAGCGCCGCCGCTCTCTGCCTCGATGTCCTCCTCCCCACATGCTCGCCAGAATTTATAGCGGCTTTTTATTAATTAAGTGCCGTGGCCACATGACTCCGCTAACTACCAGGTAGGTGGGCTTCTCTGGAAACCAGGCTTTGTCTGGACCAGGAGGCAGCCGGCCAGGCGGTGCGCGGGAGGGAGGACGCCTTCTCCGTGCCCCACACGGCCGCAGGGAGGAACAGATCCCCACCAGCCCCAAAATCCCAACTTTTTTGGGGGCAATCTCCAGGCCATTTCCCTTCCCAGCCTGAGGACATCTCCCAGTTCCCGCTCAGAGAAACACCAGGGCTGGAGGCTCCTCTCCCAAGACATGTCGATCTCTTTACTGGCTTTCAAAGGGGATGTTGCCCACCCACAGCTCCGGGCAGGGACCCACAGCCTCCAGAAGTCCTCTGCTCCCAACCACTCACCATCTGCGGATGGCTCCCACCTAACTGCATCTCTCATTCCAGTATCCTTTGGAAAACCTGCAGCTCCCCAGAGCCCGCTGCTCTCCAAGGAGCTCCCCTGTGCATCCTGGGCTGGACTCCACCATGGGAAGGGAAGAACCAGCTCCACCCATGGCTTTCACAGCCATCATATGTGGCTCCTTGAGCTTCTCAGTGCCGAGACCTTGGAGGACCACTCCAAAACCCAAAGGGAGCTACAGCCGGCCCGATGCAGCCTCGGTGGCAGGGCCAGGCTCTGGTGGAGGTGGCATCTCTGCCATGGGGGGACATGCGTTACGGGCACACCACGTGCCTGTTCTTGTGCCCTGTTACAACAGAGGGCTGTCAAGCAGCCTTGGCACGTCTGCAGCGGGCAATTGCCCAAAAGGGTGCAGAGCTGGGACACCCAGCTCCCCAGCAGGAGAAGGACCCGACCCCAACACACAGAGGGCTTTTCCCAAAGTGGAGCCGGGGCCGGAGGGTCAACCAAAAGAGGCTGTGGAGGCAGACGCTGCTCAGGGAGCTTCTCTGGTCCCCTCCTGTAGGGACAGCAGCAGATCTGAGTGCTGTTTGCTCCAAACCCGAGTGCCAGAAGCCAGAAAGGAATCTCCTTCCCATTGGAATGCCTGGATGCACACACAGGGTGGTGAATTTTCCGAGCACCCGGCCTCCCAGGGTGCTTCCTCACCAGCATCCCCCTCCGCCGGCCCCCAGAGCTCCCAGCTCAGCAGCTTGGCCAGGCTGCTTTTGGAAACACCGTGTCCCTGGGTGGGGGGTACAAGACACCAGAGGGACTCAGTTTCCAGCAGGGGACACCCAGCACCCAGGCTGCCTCCCGCACCCCACACCCCTGGATGAAGACCCATCCTGGGTTAGGGGTAGGTTTGGCAGCCCCCCTACTCCCATCCCCAGTCCCATCCCCATTCCCAGTTCCATCCCTATCTCCATCCCCATTCCCAGTCCCATCCTCCCCACTCCCTTTCTCATTCACATCCCCACCCCCATCCCTGTTCCCATTCCCAGACCCACCCCTATCCCCATCCCCAGACCCATCCCCATTCCCACTCCCATCCCTGGTTCCACCCCTATCCCCATCCCCAGACCCATCCCCATCCCCACTCCCATTCTCATCCCCATCCCCATTCCCAGTCCCAGTCCCACCCCCATCCCCATTCCCATCCCCACTCCCATTCCCATCCCTACTCCCATTCCCATCCTCAGTTCCATCCCTATCCCAATCCCCATTCCCATTCCCAGTCCCATCTCCATCCCCACTTCCATTCCCACACCCATCCCCGTTCCCAGTCCTGGTCCCATTCCCAGTTCCATCCCTATCCCCATCCCCATTCCCACTCCCATCCCCAGTCCCAGTCCCATCCCCAGTTCCATCCCTATCCCAATCCCCATTCCCATTCCCAGTCCCATCTCCATCCCCACTTCCATTCCCACACCCATCCCCGTTCCCAGTCCTGGTCCCATTCCCAGTTCCATCCCTATCCCCATCCCCATTCCCACTCCCATCCCCAGTCCCAGTCCCATCCCCAGTTCCATCCCTATCCCAATCCCCAGTCCCAGTCCCAGCCCCATCCCCATTCCCAGTCCCGGTCCCATCCCCAGTTCCATCCCCATCCCCATTCCCAGTCCCATCCCCATCCCCACTCCCATTCCCACACCCATCCCCATTTCCAGTCCTGGTCCCATTCCTGGTTCCATCCCTATCCCCATCCCCATCCCCATTCCCACTCCCATTCCCAGTTCCATCCCCATTCCCAGTCCCGGTCCCATCCCCAGTCCCATCCCCAGTTCCATCCCCATTCCCAGTCCTGGTCCCATTCCCGGTTCCATCCCCATCCCCATCCCCAAATCCCGGGTGGGTGCCCGTGCCCCGTCCATCCCCATTCCCGCTCCAGGAGCTGCCGGGGGGGGGATTGATCCTCCCGGTTGCTCTGTCCCCAGCCCCGGGGGGGTTCAGGCCCCCCGTCCCCGCTGCCCCCGGCCCCCACTGACGCGGGTCCCCGGGCCCGGCTCATTAGGGCCTGTTTGCAGGCTGCGGGGCCGTGGGCGAAGGAGTTCTGGGAAGGCATTAGCGCTAACGAGGGCGGCCGCGCTGATTGCTTTTTAATCTGCAGGAGCAACGTCAGCTCCGCGCGCATCCCCGCGGCCCCTAACGAGCTAAATGAGGCGGCCGGGCCGCTTCCAGGAAAAGAGGGGCGAGGGTAGAAGGGGGTGGAAAGCTGGGGGGGGGGACACGACCAGGGATGTGCCCCCCCGACCCTGTCTTGCTGCTCCAGGCCCCCCAGCGCGGGGGAAGCGGGCGATGGAGCGGGTGTTGGCAGGGCAGGGGTGCCCGGGAACGGGTCCCACCACGGGACCCCCGGCAGACAAGCTGGGGCCGGGGTGGTGGGGGGGTTCCTGGAAACACCGGGTGACTCATTTAGCTCGTTACCTGGGAGATATGGGGGTGCCCAGGGTGGTAGAGAGCTGGAGGTGGGGGTACTGGGGTGCCCAGGGTGCTGGAGAGCTGGAGGTGGGTGATATCGGGGTGCCCAGGGTGCTGGAGAGCTGAGGTGGGGGAATTGGGGTGCCCAGGGTGCTGGAGAGCTGGAGGTGGGTGATATGGGGGTGCCCAGGGTGCTGGAGAGCTGGAAGTGGAGGTATTGGGGTGCTGGAGAGTTGGAGGTGGGTGATATGGGGGTTCAGAGGGTGGTGGAGACTGGAGGTGGGGGTACTGGGGTTCCCAGGGTGCTGGAGAGCTGGAGGTGGGTGATATGGGGGTGCCCAGGGTGCTGGAGAGCTGGAGGTGGGGGAATTGGGGTGCCCAGGGTGCTGGAGAGCTGGAGGTGGGCGATATGAGGGTGCTCAGGGTGCTGGAGAGCTGGAGGTGGAGGTGTTGGGGTGCCCGGGGTGCTGGAGAGCTGGATGATATGGGGGTGTAGAGCGTGGTGGAGACTGGAGGTGGAGGTGTTGGGGTGCCCAGGGTGCTGGAGAGCTGGAGGTGGGGGATATGGGGGTGCTCAGGGTGCTGGAGAGCTGGAGGTGGAGGTGTTGGGGTGCCCAGGGTGCTGGAGAGCTGGATGATATGGGGGTGCAGAGGGTGGTGGAGACTGGAGGTGGAGGTGTGGGGGTGCCCAGGGTGCTGAAGACCTGGAGGTAGGGAAATTGGGGTGCACAGGTTGCTGGGGTGCTGGAGAGCTAATGAGCCGCGTTGAGGGGGCTGCCCGAGGTGGAGGAGGGGTGAAAAGCGCCGTGCGGACGCTTCGGGAGGTGCGATGAGCATCGCCCCGGTCTCAGCCCGGGCCGGCGGGCGGATGGGGCCCTTTAAGGCGCGAGCCCGGGAACGCCCTGACGTCAGCGGGGCGGGCACGCCTGGGCAGCCGCAGCCCCGGCCGCCCCAGCTCCTCCGCCCCGGTGAGCGGGGGGGATCGGGGGGCTGCGGG